CTTTGAACAACAAATTGGGAGCCATTTTCACCAAAGACTATCTCAGGGATGTCATGTTAAAATGTAGACTTTAAATTTACGATCATATCCTCGGATCTAGTCGGTGTTTATTCAGCAATCTCCACGTAACGCGAGTATTAGTCCACTTCTAGAAGATAATTTGAATTGTCAAACATGAATAAATCTGCTGCCACTTTTTGCCACGGTCTCTCTGGAAGCACGCTGATGAACAGCAGCTCAAGCGGGTTGACTCATTCTTTAATGCATGTTGTGCAATTTGTTACCATCTTTTTGAGGTGGATGATCAGACCCGGCTGGCCACCACACCACTTCTCTGGTCTGCTCCTGACATCTTGTTATTCCTTGATGTCCCTCACTTTGAACAAAGCAGGCTGACTCAAATGTGCTGTTTTCGCAGGCATAATAAGCACTAACGTGCTACTGAGGTTAAAGGGTCCCATAGCCCAAAATACAGTTGGCTGCTATGCACAATTTAAGTTTCGGTAAAACCAATCGGCCGTTTATTATCAAGTGAATGTCTTAAAAGCTCAAGTGTGCTTTGCTTTTGTCCTTTTTCAACGATTTATCTAGATTTGTCAGACACTTTCCATGTTTAAAGGAAGAGGGATGTGTTTTAAATTGCACTTGGAGGTCTTTTTCATTAACGGCCCATGAATAAAAACAAGGTATGATGCCTTATATTGTTTAGTTCTTACCTTTGTTTTCCAATGTGCAACACTTAGAAGTGGTTGAATCATGTCAAATGTGTGTGGTTGAACCGAATCATTCAATAAATCCAGAAGAAGGAGCAAATAATGTAAATGAGGCCATCAAGGGAGTGGACGATTGATTGATATAGCTGTCAGTATAATGGACCGCATATTGCGCCATCCCACCCATCATGGCAGACAATCAACAGCTTGGCTCTGGATGGACAAAAAGTGATTTGAATTTGAAGGAACAATTTCCCCTCAATATCTGATCTCTCTGGCCTTATTCTGTTCTAAGTTTTCCACACCTGCTCTAAACCAGGCTGGAAATTGCAGGCCCATCACTAAAGAGTTGATAAATGCTGACTTTATTATTGGAATTATTCTGGAATATCAGCAGTAAACCATCTATACAAGTATTACGAATGCTCGGGTTTGATTGAACTTGAAGAGTGAAGCCAATAATCTTTCGAGTAACTGAGCAATCCTGCTTAAAATCAATCGGGGGGAAACACTGATGGAAATAGAGGAAGGGGCTGGTTTATCAAATATTAAACATTGTCTCTCAGTTCTGTTGTTGCAGCGAATGACCCAATTTAGCATCTCCTGTTCAACTGCCAGCATCAAACTGGGCATACACTTGCCACGACAAGACTGTTTTGGGACAGTCACACTTTTCCGGAGAGTTAATCGTGTCGCTGTTAAGGTCCGGCAGGGTTGAGGACCCAATTGCAGGGAAGCAAGCCTGGAGTGCTCTTGTCATTTCAGTAATGAAAAAAAAAGGAAAACAAGGCACCTTGGAATGATCCCCAAAACATATTTATTTATCTTAACTCTGAAAAGCAGATATAAAGTAACAAACTATCAGACTAAACTCGCCCTGACATGGGGACAAACAAAGAATCAACCGACAAGGACTGAAAGAAACCAGGGAACTGATGCTGCATTCGAGGAAGGTCGGAAGTCGGAGTTTTCCAACCTCCGACCAGGAAAAGTACACAGTAACGCCCCTCTGAACTGGGAGGTCAGAGTTGCAAAGCTGGAAAAAAAAGGACCCCAACTTCACTGACAAGGTTGAATCTGACGTCACTTGAACCCCCCGTGGGGACGGAGAGCGTGAATGGCAAAATATTATTTTGCATTTCTTCTTTTTTACATTTATCCATCCATCCATCCATTTTCCGATCCACTTTATCCTCACAAGGGTCGCGGGGGTTGCTGGAGCCTATCCCAGCTGACTTCGGGCAGTAGGTGGGGGAACCCCGGAACCGGTTGCCAGCCAATCGCAGGACACACAGAGACCAACAACCATCCGTACTCACACTCACACCGAGGGACAATTTAGAGTGTTCAATCAGCCTGCCATGCATGTTTTTGGAATGTGGGAGGAAACCGGAGTACCCGGAGAAAACCCACGCAGGCCGGGGAGAACATGCAAACTCCACACAGGGAACCCGGAGCTGGGATCGAACCCACGACCTCTGCACTGTGAGGTCGACGCGCTACCCACTGGTCCACCGGGCCACCTTTTTTTACATTTATTTTAAATAATTTTTTGGAAAGGGTCTGTATATATAAAGAGAGAGTGGGGATGGATTGACTTGAGGTCCTTTTTTTTTTTAAATTCTTGAGTTAAAGTACCCAAATTGGCCTCAAAATGTTGGATTTTGTCAAAGTTATTTCAGGAGCTGTCTTAAATCTGTCAGAAGCGAGACTCACTACTTCAACATTTAATTGACATTTCCACAGGCGATCTTTGACATGGACATAAAGGACCACGTCTTCTGATTTAGAGGACACCTTGCTTGAGGACACCTTATTCAGGGGCATTGTGGGGGTGGTAGAAGGGTGCTATTGCTTCGCTGCGTAGTGAAGCTCATTTCCAAAGCTTTTTGTACCACATCAGCTCTATTAATACGATTCTGTCTCATGAGCTCATACCTGCTGAACGGCTTCTGTGAGCTGCGATGACTGACACCTGCTAGGCTATTATATAACGTGTTGCATGATATTCATAAGACGATGTGTTTTTAATTGTCATCATTCCTCATTCTTTCACCTCAGCCCTCTCTGGTGTATTTTTCTGGCACACTTCAAACCTTGCAAATCAACCGGCAGCTATTCAATGGTGTGTGCTGCCTGTCGGCAGACATGAACTTCCAGATGAGTGAGTTAGGAGATGAATTGTGACATGAATAAACACACATTCAGTGCATCTCTTCAGCAGCCTTGCACATGAGGTGATGGCACAAAGATGATCTCATTTTCACTGTCAATTGAATGTTTTTAGTTTCTTTTTATAAACGTGTCATGTCACAGTTGTGAGGAAAGAAGTGTTTTGTTTATGCATCGATGCGCTTTCTCCTTGTTTAAGCTCCAGACTTGAGCACTATTCATTTGAGAAACTACTTGAGTAAATGCGTTTCTTAATTGAAGGGAGGATGAGGAATATGAGTTCAAAGAAAGGAAGACAAAATTGTGTGATGGTAAAATGTTTTTATTTAGTCATTTTACCACTGCTGCGCAGAGTCCTTGCAGGCCTTTACTCGAAAGCGAAAAAAAAAGGATCATCTTAATCAAACAGCATTGCATTTTCTCCCAGAAGAGAGCTGCTCCTCTGCATGAAATCCGAGGCTGTTCTGATAGTAGAACACAGAAATTAATTAGATCAGTTTAAAAACATGGTGAGTGGTTTGCACGTTTGCCTCACATTTCTTTTGGGGCTGGAATCTTGACTCCAGTCTTCCTGTTTGGACTTGGCATGTTTGAATCAAGGGCACCCGAGCTGCCGCCCACTTTCCAAAATGGGTGCGACCCCTTAGTTTGAGCTGTGTTCGTGTGTAAGCGCTGCATGTACTTTAAAGGCATTTTAGAGGGAAGCTTTTAAAGCAGTCGCCACAGTCACCAGCAGCCGTGACAATTCACTCTGACGGATAACAACATGCAATTTGGTGCGGCTGCTTCATGAAGTTTGTACGGCAAGAATTCCAAGACCACAAAGACACACGCGAATTAACACCGGGTCAAATGACAACATGTTTGTCATAGCCTTTTAATTTTGCGGTTCATATTGTCAGCATCAGCAGGGAACGCTTTCAGAAATAAAGTTTATTGGAGCTAGAGATGATAGAATCCTCACACAGGAGAAAATGGATTTCCACTGGGATAAACAGTTCTAATTTGTTCAGTGCCGAACTGCACATCGTAGATTCCCACCTCCTCCACTTGAACCGCACCATGCACGGCCCTACACTGGGGCTAGGAGGAGCTACAGCCCCATCAGAAATCTGTCTAGCCTCGCTTCACCCCCACTGCCAGGCAATTTATCTATGTATATATTTATTTTAAGTTCACAAGTAAGCAGCCATTCTGTTCCAATACAATTTCTGTTTCAGTGTTTGTGCTGCAGCTGTACCCCGTCTGTGAGTTTGCGAGGGCAGAGTCTTTCAGTTACTCGTGCATTCGGGGTGCGTTTGAAAATAATCTCCAACAATGCACTGCTTCTCGACGACCGTTTGGAAACTTAGGAGTGTTGCTCAAATTTGTTGTTCGGCTATTCAAAGTGCACCAAAAACGATGCTAGGCAATGGATCGCTTTGTAATTTGAAAAAATAAAAAAAAAAAAAAATCACACTTTCCCTTAAAAGTCTCCAAAGGTGTAGAGAAGAAGAAGGTGAAAAATGAGCCCCGTCCAACTCCTGAAGGAGCAACACACAGTGACGTGGGTGTACAATTTGGGCATCTTTTTGTCACACTGAGTACGGAAGGGGATACAAAGACATAAAATCAATTCCCGCAATTTGAGGGCAGGGTCCAGATCTCTATCTTCAGGCAAATTCCTACATTATATTGAATACACGTCACTATGAGGTGTATTCAATAAGGTGTATTATACTTTGATTATACTTTTATATATTGTACTGTACTTTTATTTGGAAAAAAAGAGAAGTCATGAAATTCGTTTTTTTTTCTTCTCAGCCCCACCACATATCGGTCAAACCACACCCTTGGCCTATAGAGAGAAAAAATGCTGGTGACGTGAAAATATGTTCTTTAGGGCATGCGTCACATTTCTATAAGTTGATTTTCATGATACTGATCTTCTGATCTTGACATTCACTAAAATAATTAGAACATGTTTAGGTTATTTTATTCTTATACAGTGTATTATGAAGTCGATCATACAAACATACATGCACACTGAACAAAAATATACTCTTGGATAATGGATGCTATTTGCTTCAATTCTAAATTAATATTGTGGTTTTGATTCTTTGTGTGTACTTCCAGTGGTCAGTCCTTACCCTTTTGATGCAGTTTCAACAAGAAGGTGTCATTCCATTTACAAGGGCTTTGCTCAGTGTCTCATGGCTCTGGGTGACAGTCTGACGGACACGGCACGCAAGGATGAAGATACACATGAGATCCAGTCAATTTGCAGGTCAGTGCATTTACTGAAGTGAGCGCCTTCGTTAGTGGCATGAGAGGGGACAAATTACACAATCAAGTGAGATCAAAAATAAAACTTTAAAAAATTCTTTCTTTACAAAGATAATAATGCTATTTCCATTAGGAGCGCAAGTTGAGAACAAAGCGCAGTCTAACTGTGAGCATGGGAAGTTTTCTTTCTTTTTGCTGGTAAAATTGGGCGTTACGGGGCGGTTGGAGATTTGTGCATCATTGTGGGATGGAAATACAGTAGTCTTTTCCCGGCGAATCCTAGTTACAGCCCTCATTTGCATCAAAATCAGAGCAGTCGGAAGCACACAAGTGGACGAGTACCCTGTGCTGGAACTGAAATAGATTTGCTGGGGTCTGTGCATGAAACTGGCAAGTAAACTACAAGCTCTACCCTTGCCGATGATGTAGTTGGCTGCGCATTTGACATGGGCAATTGGAGACCGCCTTGCACCCCTGATAGTGTGTGAACCCACCCCACACTAGTGACGAGGGTGCATTTTTAAGATGATGATTGTAATTAATTCAATGAATTGATTTCGACAATTATTTGGGGGGAATGTCCTGGGCTGATGTCATATTTGTGAATGAAATTCCACGACGTCCAGCACACTCATCCGTGGAGAGCCAAAGTTGTCTGCAAGTGCCTTGATCAAATTCACTAAAATCGCGTTAGATTGCCTGCGCAGCAGGTTCAACCTGTTTTTTGCGAGTCTAAAATCAAGTCTACTTTTTGTAACCAAATTGGCAGATGCACCGAGAGGCGAGGCAGAACATCACCCCAAAAGTGCTAGACTAGATTTGCGCTGGCATGAAAATCAAGTTACACCTATTCTCACCGGCTGCGGTCGACCAAAATAGGCTCTTTTTGTTGCTCAAATCTTACGCTTTCGCTCTTTCTTCTTTGTATTTACAGTATAGTTTTATGTCTACATAAACTGTCTGTGTACGTGTGTCCATGTGTGTATATCCATCTATCCATTTTCTAATCAGCTTATCCTCGCGAGAGTCGCGGGCCTGCTCAAGCCTATCCCAGCTGTCTTTGGCCAGAAGGCAGGGGACACCCTGAACAGGGCACACATAGACGAACAACCAGTCGCGCTCACAATCACACTTAGGGCCAACTGAGAGTGTTCCATTGACCTGCCATGCATGTTTTTGGAATTTAGGAGAGTATCTGGAGAAAACCCATGCAGGCACGGGGAGAACATACAAACTCCACACGGGAAGGCCTGCGCCTCTGCACTGTGAGGCGGAGGTCCTAACCAGTCGAGCACTGCGCCTCCCTTATATATATATATATATTCTCTCTCTCTCTCTCTCTCTCTACACACACACATATATATATATATATATATATATATATATATATATATATATATATAAGTGCTGTCAAACGATTAAAATATTTAATCGTGATTAAAAACGCAACTGTCATAATTAACTCATAATTAATCATGATTACTCACATTTTTTATCGTTTCTAAATTTCCTTTTATATTTTTTTTGTCCTATTTTTCCCTGTTTTAATGCTGTCATCAACATGGAATCATGGATCAGTTTTCTATGTGCAAAATGCAAATATTTCCTGAAACAACAATTTCGATTTGAAAAACAACAATTTTTCACTTGGAGCAGTTATTCAGACATAATCTCTTCACACAATATTACTGTCCATCAACAACAGTGAAAAGACGAGGGGGCTGAGTACTCACATCAGCTGTGTGCTTGGCCATTAAGTGGTATTTCAGACTCGACGTGCTATGATAATAGCTCAGTTTACGACTGCAAAACATACAGGTAACTTTGGTCTTGTCAGTGGAACCATATGGCAGCTTTTTAAAAGTAAACTTTCCATTCATCAACTACTTAAGTATCTGTTTTCAGTGTCTTGCGCTGCCATGGCTGGCAAAACAGACGGCAAAAAAAAAGTCAGTGAGAGAGAAGCCCGACCCGAATCCGAAGCAATGATTGACATTTTTAGGCCTATATATATATATACACACACACACACACTCACACTAACACGTACAGAAACTCACACTGTTCATATGTTGAATAATAATAATAATACATTTTATTTATAAGCGCCTTTCAAAACACTCAAGGACACTTTACAATCAAGAACAAAACAATAAAACCACAGATAAAACTACGGTATCAATAAGAAAAGAATAGATTAATTTAAATGGAGTATGCAATTTCAAAAAGGTGGGTTTTGAGATGGGATTTGAATGTGGGAAGAGAATCATTACGGATGTTGGGTGGAAGTGAGTTCCAGAGTTTGGGGGCAGACATACACATAACATCACTTGTAGGCCATGGTTGTTTATGCTTTGGTAGTCATGTCAAAAAGTTGCTTCGTTCACTGACTCCAACTGAGGATATGTTTGTGCTGTGAAAGGACTGCTTCAAGATCCTCAATTCTAATGAAACACCATTCATAGAGACAGGAGATTGTCATTCACTGAGGCTAAGGTTGCTGAGGTAATCAGAAAACGTCTCAGTGGTAGCGGATTCGCTTTGAATACCTCAGAGTTAGCAAAGCGGTAGGTGGTCTCACTTTTATGAAGAATGAGAGGAGGGAGTTTACAATCCACTTATTCCAGAATACTTGAGAAGAGTCCCAAACAGTCAAACGGCATACAAGGAACATTACTATTTAATATCCTGGCCATGTATTACACTATACTCTCAGGCATTCCACTGCATGTGTTGTGGTATTGTGTTATTGCTTTCCAGCAATATGAACTGCAAAGCTGCCAGGATGACAAGTGGCACATCCAGAAAATGGTTGGTTGCATCCTCTGGCTTGAGTAAAGTTCTGCCTCAAAGTGGAGGAACTATCTTTAGGTCTTGGGGAGAGAATGGAGTGTAACATTGACAGATTACCATTTACATTTTAGCATACGATTGCTTGCTGTATGCTTTTATTCAGGATTTATTAACATTCAGTTATGCCTAATTAATTTTAAACTATTAATAATTGTATTAGGTCACTGACTTCATAGCGGTTTATCCTCCTAACTTCCTTGTGGGCTTCATGGGTTCAGTTTCCAGTCTGTGACGATATCTATTTAGTTTTCGGTCTCCCTATGTGCCGTGTGACTGACTGGCGAACCAGTCTAGGTCGTTGTTTGTCTTTCGCCTGACATCATTTGGGATAGGCTCCAGTTCCCTGTGACGTTGAACAGGATTAGCAATGGATCAGTAATAGTATTAATAAACCAGTCCACACTTTATATGTAACACCCAAATACACTGAATAAAGTGTATGATGATCTAAGTGTCACGTGCGAGGTGGTGGTGGACCCCAAAAAGCAGGCAGGAGGGAGGAGCAGGGTGTACTTGATGAATTGTATTAAAATACTAAGAAAACGAAATCCAGAACACACAAAGTCTGGAAAACAAAACAAATCCAAAGTAGCAAACAAAACCATGGCATAGCAAAAAACAAAGTGATAAACACAAACCAACAGAAATTGTGACAGCATCTAACACAACAGAAGCAAACAGCAACACACACAAACAATGACCCAACACGAGTGGTCCTGCCGGGAGTCCTTTTAAACAAACAAACAAACTAATTGCATAACGACCAACAGGTGTGCAGCTGCAGGAAGATCCCTACAGTGCCACCTGTTGGTCACAAACCGAAACATGACACTAAGTCAATCCACTCATCCACCTGTTTTATATCAGTGAACCTTTGCAGGGTTTCAGGCGTGCCTATTCCAGTTCATTTTGAGATGCAGAGTGATTGCCAGTCAATCACAGAACACATTCATTTTCACACCTATAGGGTAAGTCGACTCAACTACCGGTGACCAAGGCAATCGTTTTTGGAAGGAGAAAGAAACCAGAGACTGAAAAAAAAAAAAAAAAAAAGACATGCAAACTTCCCACCGATAGCCTCTAGCCAGGTTTCAAAATCAGAATCCTTTTGACTGTGAGGCATATGTGCGAGCCGCACGTGCCACCTTCTGCCAATTATTAATATTTCAAGCATTCTTTTTATTACTTCATTATTTTTGATCACTGCTGTATTACTTTAAATGAGGTACTTTATCAGCAAGTTAAGCCTCTTCAATGGTCACCTCATAAGGATTTTTCATTTAATTATAGGCTTTTAATTCCTTCGACTAATTTTGACTTGTGCCATCGTAAAAGTGTCTTTGTCACTGTAGCTTCTTTATTTCCAATCAATGCCGTGAATGTTACTCTTATTGGGCTGTTAATATTTTCTTATTGGGCTTCAACAGTGTTCCACAACCCTCGTAATATTATATTGGAATCTTTGCAGGCTGGTTACCTCAATGTTTCTGGCTTATTTAGGGTTTATAGCTCAGCTATTATGCTTCAGTATGCAATTGTACTTGTTACAGCCAACCGCTACAACTTTGAAAGTCTAAATGAAAGGTGCTTTGCTCCTGGAGTCTGGTCTCAAGACAGTTAGGGGATGTTTGGCAGGGGGATATTTTTGAATGTCATGGTGGGTGATGGTAAGGGACCCAAAATCAGGGAGGCAGGAGATGTACGGTGTACCGGACCAAATGTATTAACAAAAACACTTAAGTGTGTATTTGATGAGCACACAACATAGATGATCAGATACAGGTTCACTGCCAATAGATTTTAGAGCACAAATAAGTCATTGTTTGTTATACAGGGCAAACTGAACATCACAATAACACAATAAAATCCCGAAAAACTCAAAGTAACAACAAAACACACCCTATGACAAACAAAACAACGTAACAGCAAATGGAGAAACAAACAAACAAGAACAAAAAAAAACACGAGAGAAACAGAACGATCTGACGCAGAGTAGTTGGTGTGGCAGTATTTTTAAAAGAAAAACTAATGACATGATGAGCAACAGGTGCGGGGCTGGAGAAGAAGCTCTCCAATGCAACCGGTTGGTCACTTACGGAACAGAACCATATCTAATCTAAACAAAAACAGAATCATGACAGTTGGCAT